GTTGACGGGGCAAAGGGAAGCACAGTGTGGGCAGTACATTCCCTAGGCAGGTGGGCCTGGTATGTATAAATAGATAGCTAAGCAGAAGCCACCAGGGGGTAAGCCACTAGGCAGAATTTCTTCATGGTTTCTGCCTCAAGCTCTTGCTTTGAGTTCCTGCCTCAGTTTCGCTTGATGATGGACTAAACTTTAAGCTTAAATAAACCCTTTCCTCACTGGTTGCTTTTGGTCAGTGTGTTTATCGTGGCAATAGAAAAAGAAGCAAACACACAAAGCAATGACTTGACTCACTGAGCCATCCCCAGCCAGAGTAGTGGGTTCTGAGAGGAGGCTTCTCGATCTTCAGCACAAAAAACTGGAAGTTAAAATTTTTTCATGTTTATGAATACTTTGCCTGCTTGCATGTCTGTGCACCATGTGTGTGAAGTGCCTGTGGAGTTCAGAAGAGGGTGTCAGATCTCCTGGACCCCAGTAGGAAGCATGGCCATGTGTATCTACAACCCCAGTTTGGGGAGGAGGTGGAGACAGATAGATTATGGCAGCGTGCTGGACAGCCAGCCTAGCAGAAGTGGTGAACTTCTACTTAGTCAGACCCTGTCTCAAGGCACTAAAGAGGATCCTGATAGACAAGCCATATGACATCCTACTCTGGTCTCTGAATGCATGTGCATAGGTGCACACACCTGCAAATTCATGTGTTTGTGTGCCAGCATACCATGCATACATATGTATACAACACACACACACACACACACACACACACACACACACACACACACACGTGTGTGAGGACGAGCAAAGAGTCCCCATTTTTAACTCTTTGTGTGGCTTTCAATGAGATATAATTTCACATGATAGTTTTTTATTATGTAACAAAACCCTCCAGAACTTAATGGCTTAAAACATCAAACTATTTATTTGTGGATATATGTTTGTGATAGTGTTTTTACTTGTGCAGGAGCACATGTCCATGTGAGTATGCATGCATATGTATGTATGAATGCATGCATGAGGGAGTCAGAGAACCTTTGGTGGTGTTCCTCAGGTGCTGTCCATGCTCCTCCTATTCTGAGACAGAGTCTCTCTGCTCAGAACTCACCGTGTAGGCCGGACTGGTTGACCAGCGAGATCCCAGGTTGCACTTGTCTCTGCCTCTTCAGTGCTGGATTAGTTTTGCACCACCACCATCCTCGGGTCTTTTCACATGGGTTCTGGGTCGAAAACTCATGTCCTTGTGCTTGCAAGGTAAGGACTTTACCAACATGTTTCTCTCCCTGCCCCTATTTCTTTTAAAAATACTCTTAGCTGATACTTAAAATGTAAAAATTGTATTTTTAATGTAGTACTGTGTTATATTCAATGCATGTATCCATTGCATAATTTAAGTCAGGTTAAACATACCTGTCTCCTCAAACATTTATTTATTTATGGTGAAAACCTGCCAGTTTTTTTTTTCACCATATACTCCCAGTCTCTTGGAATTCACTGTTTAGATCAGCCTGACTCTGAACTCACTGAGATTTCCCTGATTCGGCCTCTCGAATACAAAGATTAATAGTATTCAGCACCTTGACTGGCCCTTCAAGCTTTTTATTTTTATTAGTATTTTTTTAATTTTATAATTTAATTTAATTTTACATATCAGCCACGGATTCCATTGTTCTCCCCCCTCCCGCCCTGTCTTCCCCCCAGCTCACTCCACAAAACCATCTCCTCCAGAGCAAAGACTCCCCTGGGAATTGAGTTCAACCTGGTAGATTCAGTTGAGGCAGGTCCAGTCCTCTCCTCCCAGGCGGAGCCAAGTGTCCCTGCATAGGCCCAGGTTCCAAACAGCCAGCTCATGCACTGAGGACATGTCCTGGTCCCAGTGCCTGGATGCCTCCCAAACAGATTAAGCTAATCAACTGTCTCACTTATCCAGAGGGCCTGATC